AAAAGTCATGATATCTCCTTCCGCATTTTAATTTTAGTTTTTCTTTTTTTGTTTGCAGTTCTTGTCTTCTTATCTACACAAACGCTACAAAATAATAAATCGTTTTTTTTTGTCTTTTTTTTCTTACTTCCGCTTGTACTGCTGCTTATAGATTTTTCCTTAAGATATTTTTAAAGATTTTGTAAAATAAAACTTTAAAAATTAAAACAAAATTTTTCTTAAATTTTTTCTTATAATTGCAGAATGAATTACGCAAGGTCTATATATTCATGGAGAGAAATGTTTCTTATTTAAGCAAAGAACAATTCAAATAATCGAAACGAATTTGCATTTAAATACAAATTTTTCCAAATTCATTTCGAATTAATGCGGACGATTAAAATCCCAGACGCGGTAATTACTTTCAATTCTAAGCTCATAAAAAAATGAGAAACCCAATTTGAAGCTACTTCCTTTTTATAAGTTTAAGAGCTTTCAAGCTCATAATTTTTTTATTTAAAAATTGGCTAAAGGAGAATATTATAATTGCAATTTTTAAAACTTACATATTAGATTGATTTTCAGATTTAAGTTAGAAAGAGTAAGAGATAACGAGCACGTTGGATGGGTGAATAACTTATATTTCAACTTTCCCAAGTAGTAGCACAAGATTCAACTTCTGCACTTGTATTCTATAAGCCCAAATTTATCAACATTTACAATCGCCTGTATTTATTTTATTCATTTTCATCAAATCATTGTGAGTACGACAATTGGATTGAACATATTCACTATGATCCAGATCTAGCTCAGCTCTAGTATGAAAGAGAACAACAACCGCCAAATATTTTAATGGGGATATATAGATCAAACATTTTATATTATAGTCTAAAACAACACGTTCAAAAACGTCCGAAGAAAAGTAACACATCGAATCAATTGTATCTACCCAGTAAATGAAAACACTAGAATTGTGGCTGAAAGTTTTGTAATACAAAACAAATTTCTAAAATATGTAATTTTTACTGAATATAACATTAAGCTAATAAAAAGATAGCATAAGTGCTAAATTGTAGAAGCAAATAACTCTACAAAATATCCTATTGTAAAGCCAATAAGTAGGGCCATAAGAACAAACTACAGTTTTTAAGAAACTTTAAGTTAAGCTTATTTCGAAATTCTTAAACAACAATCATTATAAATGCTAACTTATTTCTTAATAGGATCAAAAATATTTCCATTTATACCATACCAATTCCTCCCCAATATATTTATATATAGCTACATGTAACGAGATTTTTATTACACAAACAAAAAAAAAATTCCATTAAGATTTCGCCATTATGAATAATAAGATAAATTCCATCTCACTCTTTCACTTGATTTCTAAGACTTAAAATCAATCCTTTATTAATAATTTATTAACTTTTCATCATTATTATTTTTTTAGCTCCATTAAGCTTAGCGTTTAAGATCTTTTCAAATATAGTACAAGAAAGAGAAGTAAAAAAAAAGGGCAAAATAAACACCGGAAAAAAAATTAAAAATCCTACTAATCCCCTTGTAAATTAACAGAAAAACAAAGTATGATAAAAGCAAGAGGTTGCTTATGTATTCTTTATTCCCATTGCATCATCGCCGTATCTTTAAAAATCTGGTTCAGTTTTAAAATGTTTATTTTAATACTAAATATATGAACACATTTCGATGCACAAACATATAAAATTATGGTAGTACAAGTTTAATGAGAAAAAACAGTAATATAAAAAGTCTCCCCCTAAAAATAAAGAAAAAATATGCTTCTCTTACACACATTCTTACCCCATTCAGATTTTTATTTACAAAAAAAAACAAAAATAAATTCAAATCGGGAAAAAAATCTACTTCTCATTATTAGCACCACTTTTACACACAGTCCGGAAAATCTTATTGCAAATAAACCAAAGCGAAAACAAAAATAATAAGGAAATTTACAAATGGTTTGCAACAGTCAAAGAAAATTCTTGACGACTAGAGTAGAAATATTCAAAAAAAAAAAAAACAAAATGCCGGAGAACTCAAATAAATTGTAAAAAATTAAAAATAAAAATAAAAAATCCTTATTGCCCATTAAAAGTAGAATAAAAAACATAAAAAAAGAAACATATTTTTTTTAACCAACAAAAAAACAGAGAGAAAAGAATTTTTTTTTCATAAGTATCCTTTAAATTTTTTCAAAGCCCCAACTCCGAATTTCTTCCTTTTAAAACGCATTTGACATTCCACAGCGATTTAAACATTGTTTTTCAAAATTCTGTCCTTTATTTTTTATTTTTTGTAATTTTTAAATCTTTAGAATTCAATCTCTTAGCTAAATTCTTGATGGTCTGTTCATAATGATTGCCTACATCTACTTGATTCCTATTGTTTATGTTTTTGTTACAATATTGATGGCGTGCCAAAATTGTCAGAGAAAGAATGTAAAAGGATCGTATGTATACAAAACATAATATCTTGATAAAGATTTACAAGTTCAATTTATGGACAAAGCCGCTCATTTAGTTATAAAAATATCCTAGTTTCGTAAACCCTGTATTCAAATTTACATGTTTTCTTCCATGAATCTTCCGTGTTTTTCATACGCAATAAATTTTATGATTCAGCTCTCGAGAAATAGTGTTTAAACAAAGAACTTTCGATTAGAAAAACTTATTTTATAATCAGTAAGTGTTCCAGACTAAAAAAGCTCTTCATTTGAATTGTTTCTTATTTGAAAAATTTTGGGAATTCAACCACACTTTTTTCATTCAAAGAACCTTTTCAATTTCAATATCTTTATATTTGATTTATTCAGTCTTACTAAAGTCCAAAATAGGACAAATAACATGATTAAATACGAAAATTTTAACTTTATACATTATTCACAATTTGATTTGGAATCAATTTCTTAACTTGCTTAATGAATAATTTCTTAACAACAAAAAAAAAAAAGATTTTCCTTAAACCTCATCAATAAATTGTACGCGACTGAAATAAATCGTAATATCAAAAGGAACAGATCAAAATTAAAATTAAAATAGATAGGAAAAATCAGCGTAATCAAATTTTAAAAAGGACAAAAATTTCTCCGGTCATTCAATAAAAACTAAAGAAATGAGGGAAAAAAAATATTATAATAAAAAGGAAGAGGCTACCAATAAATTATCTAAACGAAAACATAACACCATAATTGTAATAAATTGAAACCCGTACACATACAGGGTGGTCGTTTTCCAAGTATACTGCTAAATACAACTGTATAGGAGCTCATGAGTAAAACAGACTTTTGTGTGGAGTCAATACGTTGATTATTGGACTTTGGCAAAAACTTTCGAGATAATCTAGCTTAATGTAAGTTTCGAACCTCTTTATTTTTTGCATTTTTGAGTATAGCTTAGTTTATGCTTATAATTACCGGTCCGGTAATTGAATACGTATTTGAAAGAGCAAAATAAAGGCTTTCCCACAATTCAGCTACAATTCATAAATTAAATTTTGAAATCATTATGACTGTAAAATTCAGAAAATTTCAATTTTTAAATTTTCGAATTTAAAAAAAGTCGGTTTTTCAAGTGTTGTAACTAATCCTTATTTTAGTAAATGAACCAATCGTTTTTTTACCTGTTACCATTTGCGAATTATTAAGAAACAAAGTTAAGGTTTTTGTGCTGATCTTATTTTTCTGCAACCATGTAAAAACAAAAAACGAACATTTAAAATGCTCTTTTCTATTATGCAGAGATGTTCGAAATCAACCACCCTATAGGAAATAATAGCAATGACGATGAACTTTTTTTAATTTTTCAATATACAAATTTGATTCAGATGAATAAATACTAAAGAATAAAAAAGAAAATCTCTTATTCTTTAATAAGATTTTTGTAATCAGATGGAAACAATATTTTTTAAAAGTATTTTTGAATAAGAAAACATGAATAGCTACGTCTTGACACTTATTTTTAATGAATTGTAGTATTTGAGATTGTATACTTAAGGACAACAGGATTTGGATTTTAATTTGTTCGATACAACATCACTTAAAACATTAAGACCTCTTAAAAAAAAGTACCAACGATTTTGACGTGATATTTCCAAATTGTTACCCACCCTACAGCAGGACCAGTTCAGCATGCGAAATTCGATTGTTGGTCAGAAATGTTAAATAAAAAATATAGAAGCAAACTATTTATTTCGCTTTATTAGAACGAACTTTATATATTGCTGCTCCTTCCACTTAAAATTTAAAAATAGGCACACCATCAGTCATTTATTTCTTAACTACAAAGTTTATCAAGCTTCCATTGTGAGGCAGAAGCCACCTTCTCTAATTATGTATATAACACTTTTACCGACAACATTGCGTACAATAAGGGAGATCCTGTGATGGAACCAAATTTCGGATGTCAAGTTTTTGGTGACAACGCACTTCTTCATAGTAAGGAAGCTTAAGAGTTACATTTTTAGAGAAATAACCAATCAAATTTCATTGAAATTTAATATTTGGATTTGGGATGTTAAAAGAATGTACGTATAAAAATTTTGGAATGATCATGACTCAGAAACCTATATCTCCTGAACTAATAAACGGAATTTCATGAATTTTAAGATATAAGCGCTGGTTGTTACCGAAAATAACTTTTTGGGGAATTCGAATATAACAAAGCGATACTCTACTAAGAGCCACATTACCATTTTTAATGTTAACTAAAAGCTTACTAGTATCCTTAAAATTGTAAAGAAGTGTTTACAGAAGCTTCGCGTTTTCATAATCTTCTGTAACACTTTCACTAAACTAGATAATATACATTGCCTTATGTCACATCAGATTTTTTACAATTGTTACTTTCATATTGCTTTTAGAAATAGACTATATGTTAAAAAGACAATATTTTAATTTCCGAAGTTTGTAGACACAAATGTTTTATAATTCTTAGGCTAATCAACTGTAATTGTGTATTATAGGTAAATGTTTAAATGAATATAGTATTTAGAATTTGTCTTACCTCTACCACTACGTCCAACAAATCTTAAATCATTAAATTTTGCAACTTGATTTTTCATTACTGCTGTACAATTACGTAATTCCCCACAAAAATTTTCATCATTCCCAGCCATTATTGTAACAATTGTACCATCCATAACTTCACCTAATGCCACAACTTTAAATGCTACCGGTAACGTTTTATTAGATCTCCAATGTGTCGGTAATGTTGTACAAACCTGTTTTAAAAATATAATTTAATTTTAGTAAAGAATCTTTTCAATATATTAGTAGAGGATGAAAAATAAAATCAGCAGAAATTTTAATAAAATCCATAATTTTTGTGTTTCAAAAAATTTAGGGGAAGACCAACATGTGTTGAACTAAAAAGTAATTTCATTAAAGTTTTTAACTTTTACAACTTTCGTACTTTCCAGAAATTGGAGACATAATATAGGTCAGATGAATTTCATTTAGAAATATTCTCAACCTAGGAAATATGTGTAATTTTATTAAACATGACTTTAACGCAGTCACATGGCAAAAAAACACTGCACATTGAATTTCTCGTTCGATTGCTCGGTAAATATTTTAAATTACTATTTTAAAAATGTTGCTTTGCATTTCTAGTTTATAACCCGTCTTAAATGTGGTTCTAAGCAAGAAGCAACTGAACTAAGTTCAACACGATTTTGATAAACGTTCTGCATTTGAAAATTTGAGAACCATATTCAATGTTAAGTACAGTCGAGAAAGTGTTTTGACTCGAGTATTTGCAATTTGTAAAGAACTGAAATATCACACAAACCAGTTTAGGAGTACGACTGGCATCATTATTAAAAGTTTAGTTGAAATTGGTTTCGTTATTATGGACACATAATAACAAAATCTCATTCATAGTTTGTACAATTTACAATTAAATTTTTCTTAATAATTAATTTCAAATATTTTATAAGCAAGTCCAAAGTTTGGAAAAACTGTTGTCGAAGTTTTAATGGTTTGAAAAGCAGCTCTCATGCAGATCATGGAATCAATAATTCATTCGGATATCACAGAATTGACATGGTACTTTTCACCTAATATAGTTCTTAATTATTATAACCTTTATTCTCATTAAGTGATTGTAAATTAAATGTTTAATACAAATTTATGTATTAGTTTGTGCTATTCCAAATATTGCACTGTTGATGAAAATTCTGGCAAAAATCAAGCACAATTTTTAATATTTTTTAAAATATAAAAGGTTACACGTCGAATTTTTAAAGACTTAATATTACTGCCTAAATAGTTCTTTATAAATAAATGAAAAGTAAATTAAGAGTACTAAATTTTTATACCCTGCACCTTCCTGAAGGGTATATTAACTTTGGTACAGAGTTGCATAGTATATTCTGTCTGTAGGTCGGATTGCACGATAACTCAAAAACGAATAAGGCAAATACCACCAAATTTTCACAAGTTGTTTTGTTGTGCCAGGGTTTTGTTGTTGTGACCCTATTGTAACTGGACCAATTCGGACAGCGGGTTCATGTAGCTGGCAATAAACTCAAAGAGATTATTTTAAATATTTCAAAAACTAATAAAGATACAGATATAAAATTTTATATAATATGCTTAGCTCAGATTATCCTTGAAGTTTTTATCGAATGGCTTAACAGGTTCCAGTTACTGCCATACAACCATGAAAACTAATTGTAAATATTTCAAAAACAAGTTTTTATACTCAGATTTCCAAGGTCCAATTTGGCCGGTTTAGATCGATTTTACTTGTTGATATATAGGTACATTAGAAATACTAGCAATTATGGAGGTTACGGGATAATGTTCACAATTTCTTATTCTAATTATGTATTTATAACAAAAGTATCTGATAAATTTTTCCTAAATTCGAAAATTTAATGTAAGAAATATGTACATATGCAATGCAATCATTACCTCTAAGCAAGAGTGAGTATATGATTTGAAATTTTTTTCGCGCAAATACGACGTTCTAGATCTAATCATAAAATTTCAGTCCGTTGCTAACGTATAAAATAAAAGTATAGTAATAAAATTTAGATATAATATAAGCAGAGGCCATATGTATGGTTTTTAATATAGGAAATATAAAATAATTTTTGACTAAAATTGATAATACGGTTATAATTCGAAACATACTTAAATTTTTATTAAATAGTGCACACTTATATTTTAACTTTAAACATACCACATGTGGTGATCCGGTTTTAACTAATTCACCTGGATGATCCGCTAATAATGCATCAACAGTTCTTTCAACTAAATTTTCTGGTGTTAAATAGGGACTATCATCCACCTTTTTATTATTACTATTCGTATTGCTGTTATTATTACTATTATTATTATTACTACTGCTATTATCACTCATAGAATTTTTAGATGATTGACAACCATCATGCGATGATTGATTTGTTGTTGAACTAACTTCATTTGCTATGTGCATACTGTCTTAATACTTTTTTAGTATTTATATTTTTGTCTTCTCTATTTTTATTTCTTTTTTGTATTTAATTTTAACTTCTTATAAATTCATTATTAAAAAAATTTTTATTTTAATTTTTAAAAAATTCACAATCATCAATGGATCAAACATCAATTAAATTCACTTGCCATGTAGTAATTGTTAAAATCATAGTTAGAAAAATTTGGAGATATTAGTGAACTTAACATTTTACTTATGAATGATTTTACTTATGAATCTTTTTATGCTCCTGCGTTAACTAAAGTGTTCTAGTTTAAGTAATTAACACATCTAAATCACAATATGTTAAAGAAAATCTGCTGATAACCAGAATAGCATTACTATAACACTTTATTCAAAATATTACTTAGCTGAAGAAGTTCCTCCATACTTGTTTAACATTTATTTAAAGCAGATTTTAAAATACTTTTATTTGAATTGTAGGGTATCGTTATAATTCTCAGAAAATAAGGAAAAAACACTGTATTGTAAGTGGAAGGTATCAAGATCAGAGTTAAAGTAAGTTGAGAACACCCTGAAAAGCAACGAATTCGATTGTCAGAATTTAAAAATTGGCACAACCAAGCTTTCACTTTAATAAAGTCATAACCAAGTCATTTAATAAGGACATAACCAAGTCAACTTTAATAAAGTGGAACATATCAAAATATGAATTATTTTTCAATTCAAACTGAAAATCAATATAGCGACAATGTGAACTATAATTACAAAGCAGAAAATTGTTATCAAAAAATTGGTTTTTCACAAAGTTCTATTGAAAATATTCCAAAACTTTTTGAAATAAGCTCAAGCTCAGAACTCAAGGTTTGGTTTCAATAAAATTACTTTTGTGCTCTTAAAAATTTTTACTAACTTTGGTATTTTTCCAGTGTTCACATACTTTAAGAATTTTTTATGATTCATTAAACACTTAGCTAGACTTCATAAATTAATTCTATTCGCGTGAATAACTTCGCTTTATACTTAAAAGCATCTTAAAAATTCAACTCTTTCAAAATTTAAAAATTTTATATTTTGCTTTAATTTTGGTTCATTTTCCAAGGAATTTAATATTAAACAATTTTTTTACTAAATTTCTTTTTTCGCTAAATCATTCGCCTAAATAAGCAATAGATATTACAAAAAAAGAACCCAATATTGTAAGTTAAAAAGAAATCAATCTTTTTAAGGCTAGACAGACAAGTCAAGACAAAATAAATACACAACCATGTACATATATCGTATACCACACATCGTTTTATCAAAAAATTAGTTCATTTCCTTATAAATTCTCACAAAGAAAATACAAATGAAGTTCTTATAAGATCAAAGAAAATTTATTTCATTGCTGCTGTCTATAGAGAGATTTAATAAAGAGGAAAATTCAAGTTTCCTGCAAATTTTTGTATATTTCTTTATTATCATCAGTATGATATTTTTTCACTCTGGAATTTAATTTTTTTTTTATAAAATTGACAATTTTCAAAAAATATAGCAATTTATTCGTGTGTGTGATTTTTAAATATATTGGGTCCATTCTTATAGTTTATGTTCACAATGTGCTTTAGGAATAAATTAACATTTACTAAAATTTATACCCTGGCTTCCATATTGTAAAATAAATGTTTCCACTGCAATTTTTCATGTTCTTTACTGTATTTCAACGATATAGTAAGAGCCAAATTATTTTGAAAACGGTTCGAATATACAGAAAAAAGGAGAAAGGCCTCGAAAAATTTCCCGATGCTTTTTATAAATTTTGTTTAAATGGAGCTGCCACTGAATGTAAAATTTATTAATTACAAAAAAATTTAAACATTATTTTTGCAATCTAGTAAAAAAGCTTTTTTCAAATTCTACAAGCTCAAATTTAAAAGCGGTTTCATAACGGTTTAAAATAACGGTTAGTAATAACGGTTTAAAAACTGTTTTTTTTTTTTTTTACAATATGAAATTCACACAAACTTGTATCCACGAAACAATCTCCTTATATTAAATGCAATGGTATAATAACAGAATAAAATAAGAAGAATGGTCCAATAGCATCAATCACTTTTTACTTCTTTTTAATTAATTAATCAAAAAATTTGCAAAATTTGTTAAAATAAACTATGCATATAAAAAAGTAGCTTAAAAAGTTAAAAAGTAAAAATGGTTGGCGCAATAGAGCCAAAAATTGCAAGTTTACAAAAGACGCTACACAATTCAATTTGCAATTGCTAAATTAGATCATTTTCTTACTATATGTTATTAGAGAAAATTTGTCGGTTAAAACAAAAACTGCGTAAGTTAAGTAATAAGCTACCTTTTTAATTTTATTAAAAATTCGAATCGGTCAAAATTTAATAAATGGACCTTAACATTTTAAGAATTTTAGATTGTTATTAGGAAAAACATACATATGTTTTTTTGCAAAATTTAATAATTGATAATTTTTTTTAGATAAAAGGTACCATTTCCCCAGGCTTCCTGATCATTTTTAAAAGCGACATTGAACACCCTTTAAACTTAATTTTTTTTACTAAAAAAAGACTGCAGTTGAAAAAAATTTACACAGTATTATATTTATTTAAATTATCAAAATCATATGCTTGACTTTATCGTTTCATATGACTTTAACGTTTGGTAACTTGTCTAAAAACTTGAAAACCTTTTACAAGTTATGCAGAAATTGAAGTTTCTGGGTAAACAAACAATTTTTCAATACGGGATTTTTTTGAAACAATTATTTGTCTTAGAGATCACTTCTAAAATCTTCAAAAAGTAATAAATATAGACAAATTGTGAACATTGTTGAATTAATTTTACATTTACAATCAAAGTACAATGACAGTAAAATCAAAGAAGAATGTTTATGTTCAAAAAGATTTGCAGATTGTGTCTCCAAATTTAATATACATAGTATGATACCAATATACATAGTAGTAACCAATTTGAGCCTTCTACAACAAATTTCCCATTAAAACTTAAAACTTTTTTGTCCGACAAGTGTTTTTAGGAAATTTTGTTTAATATTTTTTTAGAATACTAAAAATATTAATCGAAATTCGTTATAAAAAGAATGAACGCAATTTTAAAACAACAATGGCAAGCAGAAACCTGTGTTCAATTACTGAATCAATACAATCTATAAAATTTAAATAAACGATATTAAGGCAATGCATAGAATATATAATATATATTATTTAACTAAACTAAAAATTAAAGGTTGAGTTCACATTTTCGAAAATATATTGGACAACGCTAAAGTATTTACAAGAACTATTCGATAATAACTTGTATGCAATTTAAATGTGAGTAACCCGTTTGTGATTTTATTAACCTAGATAAAAAATTTCGGTTTTAAAATTATTATATTATAAAAGTACTGCAACTTTGAGCTTAAAAATTACTCGAAACTGTAGATTTAGAGCTATAATGTAAAAATAAAAATTATAAATAAATTTTAGAGTTGAGAAAAGCTGACTTCTGTATATTGCAATTTCCATGGTTTTCATTTTCATGAATTTGTTTAGCAATATGTTTAGCTCCTTTGGATTTAATATAATTTGAAAAACGTTAATTTTTCAAAAAATGTTTAAAACTTTTTAGAAATATAGCAATGAGCAACATTTTTGGAATCGGAAAATAAACCAATACCCAGCCCTTTTTGAGAATTTAAAGAAAAATTATTTGTATAATATTTTTTGGTTCACAAAAGTTTATTTTGAAAATGATATTTTTTAAAAAAAGCCCCCAAAATTAATTATTTGAATTCCTAGAGCTGACAACAGAAAAAACTTATTCTACAATATATGGAAATTTTTAAGACTTTGCCATTTAAAGCTCAATAACTTCTTAAAATAAATTTTATATTTACAATTAACTATTAAAAATAGTTTAATTTAAACTAAATAGTTAGTTAATAAATTCCAAAATCCGGCCCATAAATGTTGTTGTATTTTTTTTGTAAAATATGTTACATATACAAATTTTTTTAATAATAAATTTAAATATAAGAAATATAAAATAATAAATACAAAATATTTTACTAAAAATAATAAAATATGGTGTATTAGTTTTTATAATAGCTATATTAAAATAAATCCAATTATATCCTTGGTTGTCTATACGAAAGATGTGTATCTATACTCGTATTTTTAGTTACAAGTATTTTAAATCTCAATTAATTTTCTTATCAATTTTTATTATTTAAACAAATTTTTTAATTTTAAATATTAAAAATGGTCATTATATTTAATAGCCGAAAATTCAGGTATCCTTTATTCAAAATTCCATTATCATTTTTTTTTATAAAAAAAATTATTAATATTTTTTTAATTAAATATTTTATATTGTAATTAAATTAATTTTAAATAAATTTCCTCGAATTTTTTTTGAATATTTTTTAAACTAATTTAAGAAAATTATTGTGAATTTCTCCATTGTATTCAAAATATTTAAAACAATTTATTATTAATATTCGCAGTTTAAAAAAAAAAATTTATAAACTTAAAAGAATAATTTGTTACAAAAATCAATTCACAAAAATTAATTTAATAATTATATATAAAGTTAAGTAATTTGTTTTAAATTTTATATTTTTAAAAAATTAATTATTAAAAATTATATGATGAAATTTTTAAAATAACTGAGTGCAGCAAAAGAAAAAAATTTTCAATTTCTTTTTTCAAATAATTTTTTTAATTAATTATTTTAATTTTTTTTTTTTGATTAAATGTATATATAATTTTGTATAGATCCACCTAATGTAATATGTATATATATTTTTTATTATGTGTATGCATATATAAATTATTTTTTTTTTTCTTATAATTTTTTTTTTATTTAATTTTATCACGAATCCGAACCGTTCTGTTAACGTAACGATTTAAAACTATTTCATTGTGGGTAACCCCAAGAAAATACCAAAATTTCGACCACTATATGTTCATCATTATAATCATTATCAAGTATTATCATCATCATCATCATGATAATCATTCGCATATCATTATCATTTGTTTATCAATATATCAAGGAGAAGAAGAAAAAATTGTTTTTTTTTTTTTTGTTTTTACCAC